TACTAAAGTGAAAGTTTAAAGTAGAATAAAATACAATAATAAAATTTAAAGAATATATAAAAAGTAAAAAAGAGACATTTTTGATAGTTCAAAATTGAATTATATCTTATTTTAAGGATATATTGTTAAAATATAAACTTGTTCCGGCCCGTTCCATACGGTTGGGTAAAACATCTCTATTCCACTTTATCCCACTCTATTTCTATTTATTCCATATAAAAATCAAGCAAAATATGAAACAATGATCTCCGACTCTCTGTTTTGTTCAACCATATTCAATATATCAAACTCATTCTTCAAGAACTGAGATAGGTTATACCACAGGTAAGTCGTGGGGCTTCTACACCGAGACCAATTATGACCGGTCGTAACCAGCTTTTGCCCTCTCTCAAATCTTTGATCTCTACCCGTGGTCAAATAGCATATACAGATTACAAAAAAGTACAATAAAAACTGCACAACTTATCCTCGACGAAACAAACTAACAATATTGTTACCAATGTTCTTGTCCTTTTTTTTTGTTACGGGCCAAAGTGTTATAATAGTTATGGTTATGTTATTGAAGAGTGCCTTCGTTAGCAACAATGTATGAATGGGATTATTTAACAAAATGACCTGATGTTTTTTTAAAATGAATGACAGCATTCCAAAAGCATCTTATCTGTTACGCAAATGCGTTAAACAACCATGTATTCTTATCAATGATACTATTAACAAAAAAAGCTACAACACTACTATCGATCTATGTACACGAATAATAGTTACAAAAGAATGTTCCAAAAAGCCCAAGTTTCTGTGCCCATTTATAGGTAGCTCGATTTCAAAGATAGAAATGCCAAATCCATCCATCAAAACTTGATCTTGCAATTTACTGCATGATCAAAAGGTTTTATTCATTAATAATCATTTTTCGAACTTAAAAATTTCCTGTTTTGTACCCATTTTGACCAATAACCTGCTCATCTTGTAACATTTTGATGACTCGGGGACCCATTTACAAATTATGCAATGTTTACAAAAAGGTTATAGCAAAGAGGACGATAAACTTAACATCCGTATCGTCAAATGTTACAATCTCAGATGGTCAAAACGGTTACGATATTGAAAATTTTGAAACTTAGTTACATGGAGAGATAAAAAATTATTTGTTACATTAAGGGTTGAGTTCAGGTGAGAAGGGGAGTTATGATGAGAAGCGTAAGAAAAGATCTCCACCCCTGGATCAATCCTAATTGAATGTCAACACTAATGATGTGCACCGAGATGCATCCGATCAATTTCCTTCTAAAGTGCAATTCATTGGAGGGCATGCGATTAAAAGTGATCAAGGGTTCAGATCTCTTCTTAAGCTTCTCATCTTAACTCTTTTTCTCACATGATTCTTAGCCGTTATTTCAAATAGATACCAAGACAAAACTTCATTGTCTATTCATGCATTTCGGTCCAACAAAATATCAAATGATTATAAGAAAAAGAGCCTAAATCACACAAGAATTTGAGTTTGGTTTCCTCTAGTTAGACAGTTACTGGCATATACTCTCTCGATTAGGACCATTACCCGTAAACAGAGAAAAGGGAAAGTAAATCCTTACAGCTGGCTCAATTGGTAAGGCCATGGGTTTGCCCCCTATGGCCACAGGTATGAGTCCCTTAGGGCTGTTGACTTCATGGCCACATGGGATTAGCCGAGATGCGCTCAAGCTAGCCCGGACAACCACAATTATCCAAAAAGAGAAAGAAAACTACATGGTGCATGCACAAACTTTTAGCAGCAGTCATTGGGCTGCCAAAAGTTCACAATTATGCTAGTAGCATTGTGATGGTAGAGTAAAATAAGCAGGGGTGAAAAGAGGCTATACCTTTCTGGCAACGATAGATGATATTTTTCCCTTTAGCTTCTCAATCATCTGCATTTGGAATATATTGCAATAAGATGCTCTTCAAATAATGCAATTATGATATGGAACACAAAAGTTTTCAAATGTACCAGGTTAGAAGCTTTTGCCCATTGATCAGCAGAAGCAGCTGCAGTTTTTAAGTGTTGAGAATTAGTAGAATCATAACTTAGAAAGTATGTAGAGTTTTCCGTCGCTTCAGCCAACCATATGTGATTTGTCTGGTCCTTGGCACTCTTGATGAGATTACAAAAGCCAACCTGCAGCAGAAATTGGTAAGAGTTGCTTAAAAGTATGCCCTCAGTTGTAAAACAAGACGACATACCGTTGATCCTACAAGATTGTAGTTGATTGGTACAGTGGAATCGCAGTCAACAGATGGTGAACAGAAGCTAATGGCAAGCAAAGCATCTGACAGCTCGTGTGGATGAGAAATACTAGTGCCGTCTGCCACGAAAACCCATTGCCTATTCTGATGAGCCGATGTATGCACCTCACCCACATAGATAACAAATGCAGCAACATCAAATTCACTGAAAAATCATGAGAATTGAATTTAGACTTTATTTTCTTGCAGATTCCATGATCCTTAGCGAAAATTACCTGGAGAAGGGAACTCCACCCATTTTTGATAATGATATTGGTTTTCGAGGACTAAAGAAGGGCCTGAAAAAACAATTCTGTTAGATAGATAAAATATGACAGAAAAAGATGAATAAATGGGAACTTACAGAAACTGGTCGCTCATGGACTGAGACAATGGCTGCCATTTGGTTGTAGAACCTCTAGCACGCAAATAAATAGTATCTGAATCAGAGTTAATTGGTGTAAGACCGGTAACAGCGTATGCTTGCCCCTCAACCAACTCCAATTGCTGCAACAACAATAAGGTAACTCTACTTGAGAAATTCCAAGATACAGCTAAAAATTAACATGTAAAACAAAAGATTATGTTGGGGGTATTTGTATTCATTTATCCGACCACGGATTTCTCCTAATGGGACTCCCTCCTAGTCTTTTGAAGAACACTTCGTTTGTGTTTTGCAGACTGCTTAAAGTTAAATATGCCTTCTGCAAGATGGATTCTTTCCTGCTATTTTCATTAATATCTTGAAATTTTAGGAATGCCATCTGTTTAAACATAGACTTGATTGGAAGACATAACACTAGATAATATGATTCACCTGTTTCTCAGTTGGGTTCCATAGTGTTATCAAGCCCTGCTGTGGGAAGCTCTTCTGAATGTAGCTTTTACTAGTTAAACCAACCACTCTCACCCTCATGAGTGTGTTGACTTCCCTACTACTTAGTCCAGCTTCCTCTAACGCCTTTTCAATTGATTTTTGCATCTCTGACTGTCTAGTTGCCTACAAAAGAACCAAATTCCTTAAACTCGTTTGTATTCAAACATCTATTAGGCAAAGCACCAGAGAGGGTTACCTCAATTTTTGCTTGATAAGTAGCAAATGAAGTCAGTTGTTCTGAACTCATCTCAGCCATCATAACTTCCGGTTCAGCAGCTTTTTCTAGTAGCTGTAAAATCTTTTTCCCCTCATCACCAGTATTTTGCTCATCATCAATTTGGAAGCTCTTGAGCCCCCTTTGAAACTCGGACATAACACCCTCCACAATGCTTGAACGTCTGTTTAACATAAACTGTCAACATTGCTATTCTGGTGGCATGAATCCAAAAATTGAATGACCACAATATCCTCAAAATGGGTTAATAGATGTATTTTCTTATCAAAGCCATGCTAGCCCTTTTAAGAAAGCAAAGCATGTCCCTATGCAAACATTTATCGCAAAACCAAAAGCTGAAGTGAGCAGGAAGCACAGAAATTAGGAATTAACATGAGAAACAGTCTGGTTGTCTTCTGAAAATGGGTCTTCTGAAAATGGAAACTTGGTCATGGATAAATTTTCCATTTTGATTCCATAAATGTTAATCCAAATACATCATTGAGATCTTGTTCAATCCCAGGATTGAGAATCAGAGCAGTACATTCAGCTGTCAGAAGTTAGAAACATGTAAGCCTTTCTCTATTTAAATTGCTGGAATTGAGGCAATTATTCAGCTAAAGAAGCAGTCAAACAAAGTGAACATATGTACATACCTACTGCAGTATAGTGAAATTTTGAAATCTTCCCTGTCAGTGTTTGCACGTAAATGCACATCTGAATGTCTAATCGACATATCTATTTCATTCATCAAGAGAGAATAAACCATGTGTACAGCAGGCTCGTGGGCGTCAAATACAAATTCTAGTGAAGACTTTTAGAAAAACATATTGCAAAATGATTTACTTGTCCAGTATATGTAACGCTAATCAACAAGAAGCGTATATATCATGAATGGTCACATACCCACACAAACACAATGACAGGAAAGGTGGCCTTTTAGTAAATTAGCATTTTGAATAAAATTTGATCAAAAAAACATAGAAACTGTCAACCTGTCGTGTCAACTGTCAACAATCTCCCACTTGGAAGCCGATTCAACACCCAAGAAATCAACATGCTGCCCATCTTAGCAGACACCCCAAATGAAAAAGACTAGCAACGATACTTCCAGTGGACATTTGACTGGATTATTAGTACCCATAATTTCTCTAAACACAGGGCACCTTCTTCCAATAAGCTGAGGGTAAAATGATAGTTGCACAGTATGTGCTTGGTCCTCATAAAAAATATTGGATACTTAGCAAGCTGAGTTACACTGACTATCCAGAAGAGTATGCTGTGCTGTTTCTACTTGCCTATTTGCTGCAGAAAATTCTTAAACAAAACCATCTTCGCTTCTTTAGTAGACTGAAGTTTCAACATGCAACTTACAGCTGTACTGCCAATAGTGCGCTTACAATATCACAACCACCATTTCACAAGCCATGACCATAGAAAATGATGTATAAAGTGGGGTCAATTGACTAAGTAAATAGCAATTTTGTTTAAGGACTTATAGGTAACTGTACAGCAAAATGACACGACTGACCCATATATCTAAGAATATGGTTGACATGAGTCATGACTGACCCATATATCTAAGAATATGGTTTTGTTTATACCCTTAGAAAGTTCCACGATAGATATTCTTGTTGGATCATATGCTCCATCCTTATTATTGCGTCATTATGTAAAGCAACACTGAGAACAAAAGGGCGAGTTGATATCCATCCCTTTTGTAGAAGTACCTCCAATAATTTGACGATAGAATCATAGAAGTTTATGTTCTGTCATGCAATAGGGTTGCAAGATATCTAAATGCGTCATATCATTGGTCATTAGTAGCATCAACCTCATACTTATTTTTAAGTCTTTGTCTTTCCAAATTTGCTTGCTTTCTTCTCCATCATACTTGTCATCTACATTGGACATCTTTTTGACTTCGTACAATTCAGCATGACGATTGACAATCACATATCACATGCTAATTGAACTTAATTTGATTATTACAATCCATTTTTTTATTATCACATGTACACCATAGCATGGCAATTATATCCACATAACATACTTGCTCATATATTAACAATGGCTTCCTTGGTTTCCAACCAGTATCACTCCTCATGGCTTGAGAATTTCCTTGTCGGATCATAAACACACATATATGAAGAAGGCATGATTTAACTAAAATTAAAATATCTTCAGCAGCGTCATATTTTAAATAACTTTTGCTTCTGAAGATTGGATGCATTGCAGCATGGGAAGCTAAAAAAGAGTAGTTCACAAGAGGTAGACTAGACTTACCTCTGGTCATACAAGCACAATAGACACGCACCATAAACCCAATGAAGTAAAAGATATAATGTAATTAATGGACTAGACTTACCTCTGGTCATACAATTGCATCCTTTTGCTTTCCATCCTCTCTGATCTCACCACAAAACCCCCATCAGTTAACCTGAAAGTGAAAAACAACAAAAGCTAGCAGAGTCAAAGACTAGACCAGGTTTTAAAGTATCATATATTAGCTTCAGCATACCTTTCCTTGTATAGAACAGGGTATATACGGATGACTCCAACTAAAGTGCTGGGAACCACCCCTCCAGAACCTTTAATGCACTTAAATGCTAATGGAATACAACCACTTTTACCTAGAAGTACAGCAAACACAACCATGCATGAGAACAGAAGAAGAGAAAACAGCAAATATTGTGAAACTAGACAGCTCATTTACGCAATATATAATGAACTCTTACAGAATCCCAAACGGTCAGCCCAATGAGCTCTATATGTCCCATTAATGTGCAAGCATAAGCTAATCATCGTTGATGCCTGTTGAAGAAATTTTCATAGAACCCTATTGGTTACAACAATTATTAACATGGTTAGAATTCAAAGGTTAATTTTGCACTGACCTCAAGGGGTGAAACAGGTGCATTCCAACCACATAAACCAGCTCCACAGATCTTCAAAAGATAATTAATAAGTTAGCAATAAGGAATTTTAAGAAGAGAATTGTGATTGAACAAGAAAATTTTGTTTAGGGAATGGCCAAGTACCCTTAGTTTTTGTCCTACAAACAATTTTCCAGCAACAAGTTGCTTTAAAAGCAATCCATCCAAGAGACCTTTCACTGAGTACCTAAAAGAAAAAGAACTCAAACATCCACAAGAAGAGCATATTCAAATCCAAAATAAGAATTTTTCTTTACCATCCATCCGTTAGTTCTATGCTTGTAACTGTAGAACTGTCAATGGCATTTGACGTAGAAATAACCTCTGTATCTAGTTCTGCATCACGCTTTAACTGTATAGATGCTATGCAGAGTACCAAAGGTGAAGAAGGGAGAGCATCTCCTTCAAGAATTCTCTTCAGCGCTGATCTGTGACCATTGTTAACTTCTCTCTCATATCTATACAAGAACATTAATAGCATATCAGAGGCAATAGCATTTTAACAAAAGACAAGTCTCCTATTATTTTCACTCCTATTCCCTGAAAGGTTCCTAAGGTCTGACTTGCAAGTCAGAAAATTCCTAACCTTTTCTCATAATATATCTCTTTTTAATAAGACAGTCGATAAAGAATTTTAATCAGAGAAATTGCAAGTACCTATATTTCAATTCCTCAAGCACATTGGAAGCAGTCAAAAGTTTCCCAGATGATTTAGCAGGATAGCATCTCTCGTAGCATGCAAGTTTCCAGACTATCCATCTGTAATGATTCGCAATCCACCTACAGTTAAAAAAAATAGAAAATTTACACTCACGATAGTCATAGATGCACATCCGAATAAGATACATTGATGGATGATAAAACCTCCCTTTTTCAGTAAATGAAGCAACTGTGTTTAATAAAAGAAGTAATCTCTTAGTGATATTGTATATCTGAGATATACTGCAACCCTTGAGACCATAGAACAGGAGATGGATAATTTATGTACACAAAAGATCCATATCCTTTTGGCACCGACTCAAGCATTCCATATGTAGCAACTTGATACATCATACACCTTGGCAAATGATGGTCACACTAGTTTACTTACTTTAATCCTTTTCACTACCTGAATTCAAGTATCCATCTCTAAGGTGTGTACTTCGGAGCATCCCTGTTGACACTTTATCATACAATCCACTTACTGAAAATGTTCATCAGCATGTGTATGCCTATGTTTTACCTCCATGTCCCAATCTTGACAAGGATGAAGCTTCCCCTAAATTAAAATAGCTATACATTAGCAGCCATAACTTAGTTTCTCACTTGGATTGTACTTTATGAGGCTTTAGACATTGCACCCAAATTTGCACTAATGTAATTGGGGGAGGGGGGAAGCCTGAGTTTACTTAGTAAGAGGCACTTAATAACATACTGGCCAACAAAAGAACAAGACAACATTGCCTACCTACTATAAGTTTCTAAACTTCTTGGAACTAGAAGAATGCAATCTTGATGACAATAGTACGAGAAAAAAGTTATTAAGAAAGCATGCATTACTTACTCTTTGGAAAGAGTTGAAGATCCTGATGAAGCCAACATGTGAAAGAAGGAATCCGCTCCAAAGCATTTTAAACCAGATTCATCTTCAAACATGTGTTTGTCTGCATTCTCTGGATTTATCTTTCTTAACCATTCAGGCAAGTTCTCAAGCTATTGACGTTAATGCATTACAAGTTGTGTCAAGAGCTGAAATGAAAACCTGCATCTAAATTGCAAGGATGTGGTTATGGTCTACCTACCGCGTTCTCAAAGGATGGAGGCTCTCCGAAGTACTCCTTGATGTACTTGCGAGGGAACTGAAATGGGTATAGAGTGGAAACCCTTCTTTTGCGGCATGATCCATCAGTTGTTTTGGGCATTGTACCTGATGCAAACAAATGCTTCATATGCAGAAGGAAACTTATGAAGCGAATTTGTAAGAATTTCTAAACTGTATTTAGAAGTACCATTAGGAACTAGTGTTGACTTTTTGTCCAATGGAGGAATAAATTTGGAATTCCGAGGCCTCTTAAATGGAGATGTATATTTTCGACTTGACACTTTTCTCTTTTCTCCTGTGACTTGTTTGTTGTCAGCGCTACGCAAACCAATAGTATTTGAAATATCCACTAATGGCCCACTCAAAGACTTTCTTGCAGAGGAAACACCTAAAGTGGTACTATTGTCGACCAAGGCCCCTCTTACACCCTCAACTGCATGAGATTTATTTGCTGTTAAAGGCACCAAGGAACATGGTATATCATTACATTGCTTGATAGTCTTATCATGTTCCACTGCATCAAATTCTTTGATCAAATTACTTCTCAGACCTATATTTTCTAACCTGATTGCTGTCTTCTTATCAGATAAAGTTGATCTTACCGGGGAAACGAAGTTATTAGACATATTTTTTGCTTTTTGTGTACCATCACTAAAAAAGGGACACACATTATTTTCTTTGTTCAACATGTTATCCCCAAAGTTACTGTTCTTATCAGATGAAAATACAGGAGAACCTGCATCCCCTTCCTTCAAAAAATTCCCCAAGTCGGGATCTCCTAGAAGGCTCCTTGCTCGTTTCAAGGCATCACCAGAAACTTTCACAGATCTTCCACCAGCTGTATAAAACTTGATAGATGGTGGTCTAGAAGCAGAACAAACAGAACGCTGAGCAACTTCCTTGATTTCACCTTCATATACACCAGACTGAAATTTAAATTTTGAAACCGGAACAGACTTAGTATCTTGAAACCGGAAGTTAGTTCCAGCACTTGTCATCGGAAGACTTGAAGAAGATGGACACATGAAGAATTCACCAACATTTGCATGTTCTCTTGATTGTTCAAGACCTTTGGAAGTCTCATCATGATCAGAATTTTCTTCCAATCCTAACAATGTTCTCGCTTTAATGAGACCCATTGAACATATGTTTACAGCTTTCCCTGACCCTGTTTGGAACATGGAATTCATGCAATTGTTTCCATCATCTCGACCAACCGATCCACCTGCCCAATCATATTAAGACAATAACTATAACAAAAATATAAGTGCAAACAAAATAAATATGAAGGATCACTAATGTCAAATAAGTGACGGAAATTGTTACATCATCAGAGGTGCCGGTGGGAATTTTTGGTAGTAAAAGGATAATTAAGTCATATTTAACTTGTAGTATAAATTGGCTAGTTTGGTATGAGGTTGAATATGCAGATATTACTCAAGTTTTTCCATGGTCCATGGAGAGAGCTAGCTTCACGAATTCCTAGTAACTCTCCCAATTTTCTGTTGTAAGTTTTCCTTTACCCTATTAATACAATATTCATTGGTGCAATTTGTTAACTCTTAACACATGTATTACGCGAGAATGTTATATCTACTTTGTCACCTTTACAGCTTTGGCATATTTTAGCATCCAGTACTATAATCAAACTAATGAGGCTCTATTATAGATATCAGTTTTCATACATTATCTTACCAAAAACCACACTGAGAGACCATAAACAGAAGAGAAAAGTGAAGGATTACCTGAAATAGCAACATCATCTTGGTCTCCAAGAATAGATGATACCTTTTCCAAGGAAGACTTCCTTGTTGCAACCAATTTCCCTGATCCGGTCTGATATGTCAAAGGAGTTGTAGCTTTATCATTGCCATCCTCACTTACCTTCAGACATCCTGTTCGGAAACAAACAATAGTCCAGCACTCAATATATTCGTATGAGTATTCATATTTATCAAATGATACAATTATTTTGTTGGACTTGGACCATTTTAGGTAGACTCAATCTGTTTATACTTTCAACTACCCAGATTAGAACCAAGTATCAGTATACTAGTACTTGACTCCTTCATCGAACTTGTAGATAGTAAGATATATCCAAGTTTATGCACATTAGTCAAAATAAATATATGTTCTCCTATACTAGTAAAAACTAATGAAATATATGCATACCGAAAACTTCATCAATATTTGCCATTGAAAAATCTCAACAAAATATATTGAACTCCTTGAGACCAAATTCAGATACTTCGATTCAAATCCTTCAAATTTGAAGCAACATATGTAGTGCATCCCCCTTTTCCCATAATGCAAAATAATGAATCGAACATACAAGATAGACTAAGGAACTCCAAAGGAGCCCTTGAGGATAGAAAGGAGGTTTCGTCATATATTGGGGAGAAATGGTCCCAAGTCTAGTCGATGTAGAACTCCAACACGCCCCCTCCAACCGAGGCTAGACGAGCACAAAAATGTCACTTCACATCTATTTCTTGGGGTGTTAGCAAAGAACAAAATAGACATCAGTCCGTCACAATCTTGAGGTAAGTCTCATCAAATTTCATCAGCTCTTTTGAAGGAGACAATTTTTAACCTTAAATAGAATATTGTAAAGAATTAAAAAGATACATTCCAAACACACCAAGAATCATGGGCTTCAGAAGCATTGGGTGAAGCTTATGTAATGTTATTTGAAAACTTAAATAAGTAGGCAATGACCTGTGTCTAGAAAAGCATCATTGTCTTGGCCTCCGAACATAGATAGTGCTTTTGCCATGGAAGACTGCTTTATAGCAATTGATTTCCCTAATCCAGTCCGAAATGTGAAAGGGGTGCCAACTATTTTTGACTTATCCTCTAGCTCCGAATATCCTGCTTCGAAACAATAATACTCCATCACCTAATAATAAAATTCATTTATGCAATTCTTACTGGGAAGATAAGCAAACCAGTGTTAGAACTAATATTCTTATGTTATAATATAAAAAAAAAAGAACCTGATCAACCTTAAAAGAAGATATCAATCAAAAGAACCTGTATCTGCAGTGGCTCCGTCATCTAGATATCCAAGAATAGATGATGCTTTAGCTAAGGAAGATTGCTTCACAGCAACCGGCTTCCCCAATCCATTTCGGAAAGTTGGTTGGGTCTCAATTTCATCACTTTGATTCTCATATAGTTTCGAATATCCTGTTTTGGAGACAAACAATACTACAGCGCTCAACATTCTACTATTTTTGTTTCATTCCATTATTTTACACCTTCAACTACTCAACTCAATACTTGTATCTATATACAAATACTCAAATCGGCTATCAGATTGACTCGTATGCACCAATTTACGAACATATGTTTGTGTTTTTCGCTTTCATATGTATCAATTCAGTATTTCAAATTCATCCTACTGTTATGAAAAATATCGCACACTAAACTCCCATTAACAATTTTTTTATATTAGGCCAGAAAACTCTAGTCAATAAATATTCGACTTTCGAGATGTTAATTTGAGATTTACGAAGATAATACCTTGAACCAAGATATCAGCGATAGAAGGGAGATGATGAGGAGAGCTAGGTTTCTCAACTGGGGCTTTTTGAGATTCACTTGAGACCTTTGCGTGAGAACATTGCCACCGGAAATTACTTCCGGTGTCAGAGAAAACTTGCCACGTAGACATTTCACATTTACAGGTGAACGGCCAATTCGTTAATCTCCGGAGGGTATGCTTATCGAAGGAGACGACGATATGTTGTTGTTCTTCGAATTTTGAGCTGAAAATGGAGAGACCAATTAAAAAGGCGGGAATATTTAAGCTTTACCAAATGTGTGGGTTTTACAAAATGACCTCCTTCTTTTTATATTGTATTTTATATCATTTTTTAATCATTTATACTAGATAAATTACCAAAATGACCTCCTTTTTAAACTTATCATTTTCTTCCATCATCCCTATGTCCCTGGTATCCTTCTCCATCATTGATGTGAAACTCGATTGTCGTTGATATGTGGTTCGACCGTCGTCGGTGTCATAGCCCGACCTCCTTGGTGCATGGCCCGACTGCTTATGATTCTTCGAAGCTCAATCATTGTTGTTGTGTAGCACGACCATCTTTGCTACAGAGTTCGATTGTCAGCATTAGGTTGCTTCCATCAGTGGTGTTCAACTCTATCTCTGCTCTGCATATCTATATTTAAGGTATTACTTTTAATCAGCTTTATCATCAACAATCTCATATAGTGTGGGTCTTAATTCAACAACTTGAAATTGCTTTTTGGAAAGTGACTATGATCTCGTTATAATAAGATGTTTTTAGTTGATCAAAAATGCATATTCTTCATTTTGATTTTATTATATTTGCATACAACAAGTTATTCACGCCAAGCAATATTATCGTAGTTGTAATAATTGGGACTTGATCTGTCATCTTACTGAATTTTGATCTTAATAAATGATTTTGGTTCAATTAGTTTTCTTAACCAATGATTATGGTTGCTTGTCTTGTTTAACATTGGTTTTGCAATGTGAGTTTTGCTTTATAGAACTCTATGCATTACTTTCAATATCATTATATTCTCTTGCATCATTTTTGTAATGCAATAAATTCTTTTATATTGGGTTCATTAGTTGATTATAGAGATGCCTAAAAATCAGTTTTGGTCCCAAATTCTCTTCATGTAACTGGTCCAGCTCAGCCCGGTTAAGCTTATATAGAACGGTTACAAAATTGGTCTGTGTCTTGGGCCGGTCCAACTCAGTCCGATAATTGATTTGTTTTCTTATAATTTTTTTTGAAGAATACAAAAATGTTATTCTAACACAGTTTAAAATATGTAAGTCGGTCAATCAAATACACTTAAAAAATCCGTACTGATTATAATTTTGTAATTGGTTTTCGATCAAATATACTTAGAAAGTTATAAAAAGCATCAAACATTTCCGATGAGATCCATGGAGCGATTCTTAGATAGCAAGCATACATTTAGAAATACATAAATGTAAATATGTAATTCTAGAAAAGAGTTCATTCATTTTGAAGTCAAGAGTTTCAACCTCATCATGGTTGGGTTCATCATCATCATCATCAAATTGTGAGTAAGTGTCGTCGGTGTCGATAGTTGACAACGTTGATAGGTTCATGGTTTATTCGGTTTCTTCCACATCTTCAAGCTTCATCTTTAGTGATGTCATGCATTGAGTTCTTTCATTGTTATGCAAATAATCCTTCAAGTATACACAACACTCCATAGACTCCCCCCTTAGTCTTGTCCGCCTCATCGAAATGATTCTACCACTAAGAGGAAAAACGGCTCCGAAGCTACAGTACTAGCTTGGATTATTAGCATATTACAGGACATGCATGCCAAAAACAGAAATTGAGGTTGCTTTTGTTTCCACCATTCTAATAAATCAATATTTTCAAAATCTTCGACACGAAAAGGAAATAAAATTAGTACGCATATACATATTTAGTTCACCCAAATCAATATCAAATATAGATTTTTACTCGTTTCATTTTGAACCTCGTTAGATATTTCGTCATTATCTCCCTCCGGTTTTGACGATGACCACTAGAACTAGAAAATAAACGACTTAAAAAGTTTTATTGTCCACTTCTTCTGCCAAAAAAAAATTATAATGATCAAATAGACTGCTAAATTAATGATTATTGCATATTTGTTCTTGTGAAAAATCAGTATTAATATGCGTATTTAAACCAAAAGCCAAATATATGGTTGAAAATAAAACTTTAACACTGGTAACATTTAATTACGAGTTTAACATCGCGGCACATGTAAAGGAAAAGGTGATCTCTAAAAAATATTTTAACAATTTTTCTTCCATTCAAGCAATCATCGTTTCTCAATCGTGATACATATTGTTGTATCTTACTTGTCAAAATAAATAATTGATTTAAAAGTAAAAGGCTTGTTGGATAATAAATATCAGATAAAAGAATTGTTTCGTTTTTATTATCGCCTAAAATATCGTATAATTCCTGAAGCACAACCAAATCTAATACACCAATAATATTAAGAAAATAATGAATATCATAAAATGCTTGCAGATGATTTTTTGTTTTATCAAATTTTCAATCATAAAATAAGTCGAATTCCACCTAACGTGAATATCAAAGTTCGGTCCCAAAGGTAAAACCAACATTGTCGCAGTATTTCCTAAACGTAGAGTTCATTTCTTACCTTTTGTGAAAATTCGCTGTAACATAAGTTTAAACTTATCTAGTACGGGTTTACAACTTTTAAATCGTCTTCAACAGTTAAATTAATTGTGTGTGCACAACAACGTGTATGGGATAATTGACCATCTAAAATAGGGGTCAAACCCAACTTTAATTACTCCATACACTAATTATTATTAATAGCTTATCAAATGAAATACTACTGATTTTAGAATATAAATTATAAGATGTAAGATTTTTTTTAATAATTGCAAATAAACGATCACCCGAATATAATGCACCAAACGGTTCAAACGTGATTATATGATTTATTAATTGCCAAGATTGCGGCTCAATCCAATGTGTCGTTATGCATATATAAGATTGTGGCAAACCGTGTGACGCGCTCCATACATCACACATTTACGAAACATAATTACACAAAAGAGAAAACATATGTTGCATTTCATTTTGACATATTTTCCACAATTTAGTTGCATCATGTCTAAGAGTTTGATAACTTACCAGCTTGGAGTTTTATTTAGATGAGGTTCATAATGTGAAAGTTGTCAAAATGTCCAAACAACAACCTGACTCGAATGACACGTTGTGTTGTCATTTGACGGTTCAAATCGGCATCGAACGTCTATATTCCACCTTGATTATCAAGTATAGGTTGACTTGAATCACCATTCGTCGACCTCAACCCTGTGAATGTTTTTCGATGTGAGGCCTCAAGGTTGAATTTCCTTCAACCAATAGAATAAATGGTTTGATTACCTTTTCTCATTATCTCCTCACCTCAATATATAATACATAATAAGGATAACTACCAAATATAAAAGATCACTACCAAACATATAAAGATCCTCATCTAAAACCCAAAATATCTCTTTCCATGTATGACATGAAATACTAAATCTAATACGCCCCCGCAGTCGAAGCGACGGGTGATCAAAAGCGAAGACTGGATCGAAATTCTTCAAAGAGTACCCGTGGAAGACCCTTAGTAAACACGTCAGCAAACTAAAATCGTGAAGGAACATGTAAAACACGAACCTGTCCTCGTGCAACCAAATCACACACAAAATGAATATCTAGCTCGACATGTTTCGTACGATGATGTTGGACGGGGTTGCCGGAGAGATAAACCGCACTGACATTATCACAATACACGAATATGGCCTTCGTGATCGGACAAAGAAACTCTAGAAGAAGATTGTGTATCCAACATGTTTCGGAGAAAACATTTGCAACCCCCCAATATTCAGTCTATACACTAGATCGGGAGACAGTGGCCTGGCGTTTAGATGACCAAGATATAAGAGAGGTCTCCAAAGAAAACACAATACCCAAACGTGAACTGACGAATGTCCGGACAACCACCCAGTCCGCGTCAGTATAAGCAACCAAGTGGTTGGATGATGCAGGGGATAACTGTAATCCCAACTTAAGTGTCCCTTTAATTAGCGCAAAATACGACGTAAAGCATGAAAATGAGGTTCACGTGGATCATGCATAAAGAGACAAACTTGCTGCACTCCGTAAAAAATATCGAGTCGTGCAAAAGTCAAATATTGAAGAGCCCCTGCAAGACTGCAATAAAGAGTGGAGTCTGCCACCAGCGGACCAGAAGATGCACTTAACTTTCTACTTGTATTGACCGGAGTAGCCACGAAATTGCAATTACTCATATTTGCCCGATCCAGTATATCAGCTGCATACTTGGATTGCGAGAGAAATAATCCATGGGCATTTCGAGAAACCAAAATCCCCAAGAAAAGATTTAGCTCCCCGAGGTCTTTCATAGCAAACTTGGAATTTAAATGGGCAACAATGGATCGCCAAAGAGAAGGGGATGAGGCAGTCAAAATGATGTCATCCACATATAACAAGAGATACGCCATGTGACCCCCATTATGATAAACAAATAACGAGTTGTCAGACCGACTATGCTTGAAACCTATAGAGGTAACAAATGTAGCAAAGCGAATGTACCACGCGCGAGGGCTTGTTTCAAGCCATAAAGAGAGCGTTTAAGGCGGCATACATGATTCAGGAACTGAGTGTCTTTAAAACCCAGAGGCTGATGCATAAACACCGTCTCATTAAGGTGCCCATGAAGTAAAGCATTTTTCACATCCAATTGCCAAATATCCCATTTTTTAGAAAGAGCTGGTATCAGAACTGGACAGATCGTTGTTGGTTTCACCACGATGAAAAAGTCTCGTAACAATCCACTCCCACCTGTTGAGATCTGCCATTTACAACCAAACGAGCCTTATACTGCTCAAGAGAACCATTCGCATGAAATTTATGGGTGAACGCCCACATACATCGAATAACATTAACACCTGAAGGGTGAGGCACAAACTCCCAAGTATCGTTAGTAATAAGTGCTTTATACTCATCAAGCATGACATTCTTCCAATTAGGATCCCGGATAGCATCTAAATGAGAAGTGGGAACTGGTGACACGATTGAAGACACGGCAGACAAAGCATACCTGGGATTGAGTTTTGTGATCCCAACCCGATTACGGGTAGTCATGAGATGTGTAG